TATTATTATTTATTATTATTATTTCTTTCCTGGAAATTCACTAGGGGCTGGTAGCTAATGGGTCAGGGGACAGCACTGGTCCATAGACACCATAAATAATTATTTGGAAATCCCAGATTTCTATAGGAAGGAGCCATGACATTCTTTTTTTTTCCACTGACCAGTTCCCCAGAAGCTTCACTCCTCTAGACATCCAGACTTTGGTCACTTTGCGTTCTTTAGCCCTCGCCCCATACCTGTCAAAGCCTGCATTCTAGCCACTGCACCACATTTCCTCTTTAGGCATCCTTCCCTGGTAGTGTATTGGCCTGCTTTGGCTCCACTTTGTTGTTCTTATTGTTGTTGCTCTGTGCCTTAAAGTCATTTCTGACTTATGGTGACCCTAAGACAAATAAGGTTTTCTGGGGCTAAGACTACATAAAGTCACCCAAGGTCACCCAGTGGATTTCCATGGCAAAGCGGGGAATTGGATCCTGATCTCCAGAGTCAGTCCTAAATTCACTGTGGCTTCACTTACTATCTTTAAAAGCAAGTGGATACTACATATGTTTTAGCTGTGATTCTAAAACAGTAAGTGGGCAATTTTCAATGGTGAGGAGAACAAATTTCCATCTCCTTGATCAACAGCATGCTGCATCAATCCTATTCTACTTTTCACCCTGTTTCCAAGAGTATTGCTTCCAGATACGTTGTTGGTGTTGGTGTTGTTTGCCTTCCAGTCATTTCCAACTTATGGCAACCCTAAGGCAGCCCTATAATAGGGTTTTCTTGGCAAAATTTGTTCAAAGGAGGCTTGCCGTTACCTTGCCTTGGGGCTGAGACCATGTGAATTATCCAAGGTCACCCAGTGGGTTTCATGGCTGACCTGGAAATCGAACCCTAGCCTTCAGAATTGTAGTCCAACACTCAAACCACTATGCCACGCTGGCTCTCTTTCTACAGAAGTGAAAAACATCTGTTTGGGTGTGGGAGGGGAAATGGCACATGGGGGCCCTCAGGGATTGGGGCTACATAGGCTGCAAAAATAGCTCTGGGGACTACATGCATGTAGCATACCTTCCAACTATCCTGATTTGGCAGGAGACTCAGGCAAAAGCAAACTGCTGCAGCGTCTCCTAGCTTGTTTGTTTTTCCTCATTGTCTTTTACTATCTAGACTGCACTCCAATGTTGTTTGGGCACGTGCGTCCCCATTTTCATCGTTGAAATACTGAAAGGAATGCTGTAGTTTGCTAGCCTCTGCCCAACAATATCCTCCTCAAGGCCTTCCGCATCTTTTTTCCCAGGCTGCCAAAACCCAGGTTCACTCAGGCATAGAAATATTTGTTCTATTTATTCTAGCAATAAGACTGCAAAGTGGTGGCTTGCCTGGTGTCACTCCAGGAGGATTTCAACCTGGGAAACTCATGCTTAAAACCCAATATTCTTTCTACTGGACTGCATTATAATTGCCATTTTCAAATTCAGATCTTTATACTATAGAATCTGTTTTCCCCATTTATTGATGTTTTCTTTCTTTTACTGTTGAAGAGATATTATGCCCATAAATGACACAGAGAAAATGTTTCTGTTACAGATTTCATAGACCTAAGGAGCTGTCTCACTTCCCTCTTTCCCCCCTCTTTTTTGAAAAATAAAGAGGATTTTGGCTGCAGGTAAAGAATCTTGCCACTGGTAAAAGTACTTATTGCACTATTTATGGCAGCTAGTTATAACTTGATTGACCTGTCTTGGCAACAAAATTGATCGGGGATGGTTAAAATGCCTAGCAGAATTTTCTCTGTCCTCCAAAGGTGGACAATTTGCTTATGTGCATATATTTGATTTGGAAGGCCATTTTGTCAATGGCGCAGTGTGTGCCAATTTACATCAGGATGAAATGTTCATTTGGGTGGGTGGGTGGGGTGGCCCAAATTAATCCTTTTAGTGATAACTAAATTACATGCTATATCCAACTAACTTCCAATTAAGGGAATCGGGTAGGATGCAATAAGGAAAAATGGATTTATAGTTGCACCTTCCAAACACGTGTGAAATGCGCTAAGAGGGTTTGCATATCTTGGCTGCACTTTAATGTCAAAATTCTTTTGGACCCTTGACCACCAAGGCTCACCTTATGAATTCTGATAACATGATTATTCTGTGCTTGATGATTCATATTTGAATGTAGATGTTCAGGTGTTCATAGAAAGGGTTATTCAGGTATTCATATAAAATCAATGTGCAAGGAGTATCCCAGCTCTACCTCTTCCATTATTGCTTGGGCCACATTAAGGTGGCAGACCTTTGGATATGGTGGTGGCTGTTCACTATGGATGAAAATTGCATTCAGTTCTGTTTTGGTAAGAATGGAATAATATTTTCAAGGATGATGTTTTAAAATAAGACTTTAATATTAGGTGGAAGAAAAATGAATAATAATATTGTATGTTTATTCATCTGAAGCATTTATATGGGGTAGTGGTTTGAGTGCTGAACTATGATTTTTGAGATCAGGGTTTAATTCCTGGATTTAAAATATCTGGTTTTTAAATGTTACTCTATTTAATATATTTCTAATCTTGTTATTATTTATTATTTTAAATTGATTTTATCATAAACCACCTTGAGATTTTCAGATAAAGGGCAGGATTGAAATAGTTTACTAATTAAATAATAATATGTAAAGGTGTAACACAGCTGACCCAGACCATATATTAGCCAATGTTACATGGGTTATTCATCATATGTCTTTCCATAAATAAGAACCCATTGGTAGATCTGTTCCATGCAACTCCAGAAATTTCTGAGAATTGGTATGGTATATACTTGCATGTATATAGCATAATTTAATTTTTATGAAAAATGTTTTTGTAATGCTTTATGTGTTGTCTCAAGCTTTATATCAATAGTAAATGTGTTTTTGTTTATTTTAGAATAGGCTCTGAAGAAAGCTAATTAGTGATAAGGCCAAAACACATTTTTTAAACAATAGAAATTTTTGACCATCGTATCACATGTGGGGCTTTGTCTCCTTGCATTTTTCTATATAGGGGACTCATCAACTTCTCCCTATGTTACATCAGAGTCCTTGAAAGGAGGGTATTTTTAAAGTCCACTTGCCACAGAGATCATGGCAGGATGTTGGGAGTACAAGGATGTTGGGAGTACAAGGACTGAATGCCTTTAACAGAATTACTAAAGGGTGAAGGGAACACATTCCCACTACCATGTATGGAAGCGAGAGCTGGACAATGTAGAAAGCTGATAGGAAGAAAACTAATTTGAGATGTACTGAAGAAGATCTCTGGAGATACTATGGAAGGCCCAAAAGACCAAAAAAAAAAAAAAAAAAAGGGTTCTAGAACAGATTAAGCCTGAACTCTCCTTGGAAGCCAAGATGATGAAACCGAGGCTGTCGTACTTTGGCCACATCATGAAAAGACATGACTCATTAGAAAAGACAACAATGAGAGGAAGGGTAGAACTTAGTAGAAAGACAGAAAGATTGCATGCTACATGGATAGACTCGATCAGGGAGGTCACAGGAAAGAATTTACAGGATTAAGCAGAGTAGTGGAGGGCAGGGTCCTTGAGATGTCTCATCCACAATGTCACCATGAATCTGGGTCAACCCAAAGGCAGTTAACAATGACAATGAAGGATTTCAATATTAGCCACAGATAGGAGGAAGGAGGAAGAACTCAGTTTACGGAGAGAAAGAATGGGGGGGGGGGGAGAGAAGGAGAGATTATGTTTTCTCATGTGTACATACACTCTACTGCCCAAAAGAGCTCTTCAGAAGTGAAATCCATTTTCAGCATCTCATTTATGTAACAGCCATAGTGCTTTTAAGAGCCCTCAGATTTTTATTTTTTTCATATTCCCCTCTACACAAAGAATTGCCATAAAAAGCCTGTCTACAGACTATGATGAGGGCTATGTTACAAAGAGCTTCACAGTGAAAAGTTTGAGGGCAACAATGCACTGGGCCCAGCAACCTAGCTGGTGTATGTGTGTGTTTGCGTGTGTGTGTATCTGATAATGATAGCAAAAAAATTCAAGTTCTAGCATGAGCATTCTTCCATTAGAAACCAAAAAGGCCTTCTCTCATGGCTTTTTTTTTTATATGGAACTATCCAGAGGTGAGGAAAGGGTAGGACACATACCAATGGTAAAGAGAGACAGAAACTGATGAAATACTTCATTTATAATGGGGTGTCAAGGTTTACTCTTCACTGTGGAGAGGAAGGCACCAGAACAACTTAAGGTACCATTTTGATTTTTATTACTCACCATACAGAAGCAATGAGATATTTATGACTATTCAGATTTGTTGGATTCCAACTCCCTAAGCTGATGGTCTTGGAGTCCAACAATAACTGAAAGGTCACAGGTTTCCCATCTCTGCTTATAGCTAAAAGAATAGAAATTAATATATATATATAACAGAATCAATCAAATAAGTACACTGGTCCATTAAAAGCAGAAAAGACTAAAACAGACATCCTGAGAAAATGTAATATATCATAGAGATAAAGCTACTTTTAAAATCCAACGTCATCCTAAAGGTGAACCTACTATCTTCCATGAGTTTTAAAAAATGACCTCAGTTTCTTCTTATGTAAGCAGATCTATTAAAAGACCAGCGCTACACTGCTCTTTTTTTCTTCCACCTTTCCACCCCAAACCATAGATTTTAAAAATAGATCCAACTTAGATGTGTCATATTAAAAGAGGCACCACTTCACGTTTTATGACTCATTGCAGGATTGACTGAAGTTACATAACATAGGTGGATACTAGCAAGTAGTTCCAAGCCAAATTTATAACGTCTTCACCCTCCTCAAGCATGGACCTTCTCCATTGTCTTTGATAGAAACCCAGAAAACATAGAAAGCATAACACAGAAAAAGAGCACTTATATCTACATGTGTCATCCAGTGATGTCCCACCTAGACATCAGTGACAGGCTTCTGGAATAGTGGAGTCTCTAAATACCTCTGGTTGAGAAGAACAAGAAGGAAGTTGCTCTTGCCTCAGATAGATGTCTTGCTCACCTCCTCCAACAGCTCCACTGATCTCCAGACACAGTCCAAATTGCTGGCTGTGACATATAGGGCTTAGGGCCAGACTATCTGATCCACTATATCTCCCCAATATAGGTCTGCCTGGACCCTGGGATCTCAGGAAAGGCCCATCACCTTCACTTTGCAAATTTGCAAACTATTATTGCATTGTGCAGAGGTGAGTAACTATGTGGAGATTATTGGTCAATTTCCTCCTCCAGACCTTGAAGGCTACCCCCCAGCAATTCCCAATACTTCCATTTTCCTTTTCAGTTCCTTCAAAATGGTGACAGAAAATGACTAGTTAGTGTTATTTCCTGTAACCATTTTAGGAGGGGAGAATATGGGTATTTGGGAATAGTATGGGTTCTTTGGATGAAGTGAGGGTGAAATGAACTATAGCTTCCAGCACCTGGCATTTTTGATGTTTTCTCATTCAAGTACTATTTAAGGCTGACCTTGCTTAGCTTCCAAGATCAGACAGGATCTGGTGCCTTTAAGGTCTTTAGGCCTACTCTTCCATAAATGTCTGCTACATAGCTATCACTATCTCTGACAGAACTTGGAAATGTTGCCTTTTTTAGACTACAATTTCTGGAATCATTCAGCTAACATGGCCAGTGACCAGACTACAATGTTTTAAATAGGGGAACTGAAGTATTTTCCAAGCTTTAATTATTCCAAATAGCCCAAGCAATCCCTTTAATGAAAATGAATATCAATATTCCATGGGTAAAAATGGAACTTAATGTAGATCTACACACTCTCCACAGGATGTTTTTTTTTTATAAAACTAGCAGGAAAAGAGATTAGAGATATAAATAATCCTTGGTTTAAGACTACCATTGAGATTTGGCAAAAATCGAAACATATCGTCTCCCC